TTCTCAGGACTTACAAGCTTAACCTGTTCTTACTTTTCTCTGTGGAATTTTTTTTTTTCATTTATCTTTAGATGGGAAGGGAAGGAGAGAGGGAGAGAAACATCAATGTATGGCTGCCTTTTGTGCCTCCCCTGCTGGGAACTGGCCTGCAGGGAACCAGCCTGCAACCCCTGTATGTGCCCTCACTGGGATTCGAACCGCGATTGTCTGGTTCGCAGGCCCAAGCTCAATCCACTGAGCTACACCAGCCAGGGCCTCTGTGGTACTTTTCACTTTATAATATCCATGACTTACTTACTTGTTACATTTTAGTTATGGTTCTTCCCCTCCTGATAGAATATAAGCCTAGTGAGGGCAGAGGTTGTTGCCTGTTCAGTTCATTGATGTTTCCCAGCATCCAGCAGAGTGCTGGCCTATAGCAGGTGCTCAGTAAGTCCATGTACAGTGAGTGACCCTGCCCCTTGCAGGGTGGATTCATCTGGTCAGACTTCCGGGTCTGCAGTCACTGAATGAACACAGCTCACCGTCCTTTCCCATGTCCCTCCAGGAATTCCCACCAAGGCTTGGTTCTGTTCCGTGGGTTTTGCTTATTACAGTGAATAAGACTTACGTAGATTTTGGGGTAGAATAACAATGTTTGCTCATGTTTCAACTGTTCCCGGGCAAAATTTAAACCCTCCTCCTCACATACACCTCTGCCTGGCCCACCATACTCTTTGGTGGCAGTGACGTTTTGCCTGAGGTTATGGTTCCAGTGGAAATTGGTGCTCAGGGACTTTTTAAACCATCTCAGGTGGTTATCCATGTTTAAAGGATATTCTCAGATTTCACCAACTGATGTGTCCTGGTGATTCCAGCCCCGGAGCTCACACAGTTTTCTTGTCTGTCATAGGGTCTGGGCTGCAGGCCTGTCTTGCGCTTAGTGCAAAGGATCCACCAAAGGAAAAAGCTAAAAAGGAAGTTAAGAGTTATAGTCAAGAATATTGTATTAGGCCCTGGCTGGTCTAGCTCAGTGGATTGAGCTCGGGCTGTGAACCAAAGGGTCACCAGTTCGATTCCCAGTTAGGGCACATACCTGGGTTGCAGGCCAGGTCCTCAGTGTGGGCCATGTGAGAGGCAACCACACATTGATGTTTTTCTCCCTCTTTCTTCTTCCCTTCCTCTCTCTCTAAAAATAAATAAATAAAATCATTTTTGAAAAAGGAAATAATTATGCGATATGACTGAAGTATTAGCTAATGTTATGTAATTAGCTAATAGGTTGTTAGCCAATTAGGTAATTATATTGCAATATATAAGTGTACCAAATCAACACCTTAAGTTTACACAATACCATAAGTCAGTTAGATCTCAAATAAATGAAGGAATGGAAGGAAGGAATGGATTAAGGGCTCGAGGCCTAGTACGACGCAGGTGGTTTTTTTGTTTGTTTTTTGGTTATTTTTAGAGAGAGAGGGGAAGGGATGGAGAAAGAGTGGGAGAGAACATCAATGTGTGGTTGCCTCTCACACGTTCCCCACTGGGGACGAGGCCTGCGACCCAGGCATGTGCCTCAACTGGGAACCAAACCAGCGACCCTTTGCTTCATAGGCCCATGCTCAATCCACTGAGCTACACCAGCTGGGGCAACGCAGGTGTATTTTTTAAGGAAAGAAGATGAAGGGAGAGAGGGGAGGAGGGAGGGAATTAGTTAAGGACTTGAGGCCTAGCATGATGCAGATACTTTAAGTATGGTTCCCACCTGCTAGAGGTAATAGAAGGATGGAGAACTTGCCCTTTGGTCCCTGTAGTTGAGAGTCTTTGTTTTCAGTCACTGTCAAGGCCTCGCCTGGTAGTGCTTCCCTGGAACAGCATCTCAGAATGACCTGACGCACAAAGAGCGTGGGTCTGGGGACAGTCTGGCCTATAAGCTACTTGAACCTGCCATTTGCCAGCTCTTATGGCCCTGGGCAATTCATTTAACTGCTTTTTTAAAGCAGCATTTATTGTTTTAGTTATAGAAAAATACAAGAAAGGAAACAAGCCCTGGCCGATAGCTCCACTGATCAGAACATTGTCCCAATCCGCCAAGGTCGCGCATGCCATCCTTGGTCGGGGCACAGACGAGGACCAGCCAGCGAGTGCGCAGATATGTGGAGCAGCAGGTCACTGTTGCCCTCTTTCTTTTCCTTCCCCTCCCTCCGAAATCAGTGCACAGAAAAAAGAAAGGAAACAAAAACAGCTCACAATTTCACCTCCTTTACATTAAAAAAAACCTATATGCAACTAGAAAATTCTAAAATGACAGAAAGGAAGAAAAGTACCCCCCCAAGTCCTTTACCCAAAGATATCCACTCTTAAGTTTTTTGTGGATATGTTAGAAAAAAAAATGTGCCTCACATTTGGCTACTTAGCTATTGGAAAGGATGTAATTAAGGTTATACATAAGGGTATTATACCATCTTTATTTTCACAGAAGGAATCACACTGTGTAGGTTGCTCTTTCTTTTTCTTTTAATTATATTTTGCAAACTGGCACATTGAGAGCTATCTCCTTTTTAAAAACTGCGTAGTATTCCATTGCAGGGATTCTTTTCATTCAGAATGTGTTTTAAAAATATTTTTATTTATTTATTTTTAAAGAGAGGGGAAGGTAAGGAGAAAGAATGGGAGAAAAACATCAGTGTGTGGTTGCCTCTCATGTGTCCCCTGCTGGGAACCTGGCCTGCAACCCAGGCATGTGCCCTGACTGGGAATCGAATTGGCGGGCGACCCTTTGCTTCACAGGCCCATGCTCAATCCACTGAGCTACGCCAGCCAGGGCTCATTCAGAATATTTTTGTTTTTAGTGCCAGACACTTTTCTAGGAGCTGGGGCAACAGCGATGCACAAAACAGACCAAGTTCTTATCAAACTGATGTTCTAGTGAAAAATCTGACCATAAACATCTATCAAAATTGGGTAGTTATAAATGCAACGCAGAAAAGTGCAGCAATATAAGGGTCCAAGCAAAGAGCAGGACCACATGAAAAAGAGTGGTCAGGGGAGCCTTTATGAGGCGAGATTCAGGCAGAGGCCAGAATGAAGAGAGGGAATGAGTCTCACAGATTTGAGGAAGAGTGTTCCCAGCAAAGGGAACTGCAAGGACCAATTCCGGGAGGTAGGAACCTGCCTGGGCTCTCCTAGTAGAAGCAGAGTAAGGGAGGGAGACAGTGGAGGGGCTCTGGAGGAGGACATTGCACGCCGGGCATTGTAAGCACTTTGGATTTCAATGTAAGTGCGACCAGAGCTATTAGAGGGTTTTGAGCGCAGAGGAGAGACATGGTCTGAATTAAGTTTTAACAAAATCACCTTGACATCCAGGCTGCTCTGCAGATGTACCACAAGCAGCCCACTGTTCTGACTTTTCATGTCTACTCCTCACATTACTAACGAGCTTCCCACATGTATCTAAGTATACTTTTGGGGTGAATCTATTGGGTGAATTCTTGGCAGTGCAATTACTGACTATACATTTTCTAAATTTTCTCCCCCTAAAAGTTTGAGCTGGTTTCCTAGTTAACTAAGTTTCCTGGTCAACTAAAAGTTTTGATGATAATGCCCACTTCAGAGTACTTTGGGATCACCAGGCAAAATGCTGGGTTTGAACTGGATGTACTTGAAGGAGTTGCGCATGTGACAGTTTGGGTTCATTGGATTGGCTGGGAAGTGACCCCCTTCTTGGAAGTCCTTTATGGCCAAGGTTTCCTGGGGTCTTGCCTTTTTTAATTTCCCTGTGGTTTCCTTACTCCGTCTGATTTTGGAGATAAAAGATTTCCTCCCTTTGTTGACATAGTTTATTTTGCAGGACAACAGCGGTTGGGATTGTTTTTCTGGAGTAGGATGGAGGGGGGACTTGGGTTTAGGGTATTACTTCAGGGCCCTTCCTGGATGGTGGTGGATGGTCTTCCTATTCTTTAATGAGTCATTTTCTGGAAGACTAAGATGTGGAAAATTTTGAAGTGGTTGCCAGATCATGACTCTGGGCTGTAGCTGGCAGGTTAAATGTTGAGAGGCCCAGATCGCTGGCAACACTGTTTTCAGGAATCGGAGCTCGTGGGCAGAACAAAGCAGCCGCCACAGGGAGTATTCCAAGGCCTCTGAGGGGAAGGTTCAATGCCCTCCTTGAGAGGGACCTGTACATCGTAGAGGCCACACTGTTTGGTCCATCTGGGTGTACTTCCTCAAAGCTGGGTTTCAAGGGCGACACCATCCAATAGCACTTTCTATGGAAACGGAAATGGTTTATGACTTGCACGGTCCAGGACTGTGGCCACTGGGGCCATGTAGCTACTGAGCACTTGAAATAGCTTGTGCGACCAAGGATCAGAATTTATTTATTTATCTTTAGAGAGAGGGGAAGGGAGAGAGGAAGAGTGGGAGAGAGACATCAGTTGGTTGCCTCTTGCACACCCCCAACTGGGGACCTGGCCTGCAACCCAGGCGTGTGCCCTGACTGGGATTTGAACTGGCGACGTTTAGGTCTGCAGGCAGGCACTCAGTCTACTGAGCCACACCAGCCAGGGCCTAAGGAACGGAATTTAAATTTTAATTTAATTTAAATAAATATAAATGACCACACATGTTTGGTGGTTATGTATTGCACGGTACAGTTCCGGGCTGTTGCCCCTGTGCCCAGCCCAACACTGAACTTCCTCCACGTTGCGCCGGGAATCTGTGGCCTTATTCTTCCCTCAGATTAGGTTCCCCTATCCCTGGGTTCATGAAGTCTTTTCTCCTGTCTCTAATACCTTCCATACTTTGGGGGGAGGGGGGTGGGTAAACACTTGTGCAATAAACAAAATGGTCTCTCTTGTTCTCCACTTGTCTCACATGTGTCGTTTGTCCCCAGGTGCATTGAGATCTTCTAGCTCAGGTTTCCATATTGCTGTTGTCATCTGTATTGTATAAGTTGTGCCTATTGACTACTGTCAGCCGATTGGTTTGTTTGCCCTTTTTGACTGATTTCTCCCTTTCCCCAGGTGCCTTGAAGAAGAGTCTCACAGCTGAGCAGGTCCGGGCTGATTTCGTAACTTTGGGTAGGTCATCATCACTGAGGTGCTCAGAGTAACAGGCCTGGCAGCCCTTTATCACTGACGTCTCCCTATGTTCTCTTGTAGGTCTCAGTGAGGAGAAAGCCACTTACTTTTCTGAAAAGGTATCATAATTCCTCTTTTTTTTTTTTTTAGTTTACTTTTTTAAAATTTTTTTTATTTTTTATTGATTATGCTGTTACAGTTGTTCTATTCCCCCTTTATTCCCCTCCACCCTACCCACCATCCCCACCATCACCCCCCCTTTAGTTTATGACCATGTGTCTCAAGTCCTTTAGATTCTGTATTTCCCATGCTATTCTTGCCCCCCCATCTATTTTCTATCTACTGTCTATGCTACTTATTTTCTGTACCTTCTCCCCCCTTCTCCTCCTCCCACCCCCCTGTTGCTAACCCTCCATGTGATCTTCATTTCTATGTTTCCACTCCTGATCTAGCTGTCCTTTTAGTTTGCTTTCGTTTTAGGTGTGGTTGTTAATAACTGTGAGTTTGTTGTCCTTTCACTGTTCATGTTTCTTTAACTTCTTTCTTAGGTAAGTCCCTTTAACATTTCATATAATAAGGGCTTGGTGATGATGAACTCCTTGAATTTGATCTTATCTGAGAAGCACCTTATCTGTCCTTCCATTTTAAATGAAAGTTTTGCTGGATAGAGCAATCTTGGTTGTAGGTCTTTAGATTTCATGACTTGGAATACCTCTTTCCAGCCCCTTCTTGCCTGTAAGGTCTCTTTTGAGAAATCCGCTGACAGTCTGATGGGGACTCCTCTGTAGGTGACTGTCCCCTTAGCTCTTGCTGCTTCTAGGATTCTCTCCTTCATTTTAATCTTGGCTAATGTAATTACGATGTGCCTTGGTATGTTCCTTCTTGGGTCCAACTTCTTTGGGACTCTCTGAGCTTCCTGGATTTCCTGGAAGTCTATTTCCTTTGCCAGATTGGGGAAATTCTCCTTTATTATTTGTTCAAATAAGTTTTCCACTGGTGGCTGTGCCTTTCCCCCTTCTGGTACCCCTAATAATTCGGATGTTGGAGCGTTTAAAGATGTCCTGGAGGTTCCTAAGACTCTCCTCATTTCTTTGAATTCTTGCTTCTTGACTCTTTTCTGTTTGGCCATTATTTGCTTTCTTCTGGTCCACTCCATTGATTTGAGTCCCAGTTTCCTTTTCATTGCTATTGGTGTCCTGTGCAATTCCATTCATTTCAATTAGTTTCGCCTTCATATATTTGTCTAATTTGTCGGTATAATCAACCAGTTCTGTGAGGATCCTGATTACCAATGTTTTAAACTGTGCGTCTGTGAGTTTTGCTATTTCTTCATCGCTTAGATTTATTGGCTCTGGGGCTCTGAGATCCTCCTGCGCCATTCTTGGTCTGTTCCTGCCCTTTAAGTGTGAGAAGCGCCGCCTTGGATTCCCAGGTCGCTGGGTTGTGACGCTGTATGTGGGGGCGTGGCCAGAGCGGGGAAATGGCGACCCCCTCTGCCGCTTCACACAGCTGGGTGCGGAGGAGCAGTGCCTTAGGTGGTTCACCTGGGCCGGGCCACTCAGAGTCGCTGGGTTATGACGCTGTATGTAGAGGTGGGGTCAGAGCAGGGAAATGGCGGCGCCCTCCACTGCCGGTTGCCGTGGGGACCTGCCGCGGTCCAACCGCCCACTCCCTCGCCTGTCCACCCACGCACAAATGCGCGACCTCAGTCAACACGCAGCCCCGGCCCTGCTGTCTCCCCCGCGGTCGCTCGCCTGGTTGCTCGCTGGGTCGCTCACTAGGTCTGACCCTGCGCCTGGATTCCGCCGGCCTGAGTGTGTCTGGCCGAGTCCTCCTGTGCAACCCTGCTCCGCCAGCCGCTGGTTTCGCCCCTTACCGGTCAGGCTGAAGAATTTGTTGTTAACGGACTTCCGAAAAGTTCAATTTTCCGTGTTCTGGCTGTGTTTTCTGTTGCTAATATTTAGTTTTCTCTAATCTTGGTTGTGTGAGAAGGCACGGCACATCCACCTATGCCTCCATCTTGGCGGAAGTCCATAATTCCTCTTAATCAAGGTTACGATTGCTCGCTTTTATTTCATGACAAGAATCAAACAGAAAAATGCCTCCTAAGGAAAAGTTGTCAATCACCATGTCATTTCCCCACCTTTTTCATTTGGTTTCACACAAATGACATACCTCCAGCTTTCAGTCTGAACTATTGAGTGCATCTGTACTGTTTGTGCATTTTTTTTAGTGCATGCCTCTGGTTTGACCGAATATAAATGTCATACAATTGTTCCAACACGGATTAAATCTCAGAATGAAAGGACACACTTATGTTGCCTTCTGCCCCTCTCCACTCCCCACCCCCCAGATCTGTGCATACACACCAGCCCTTCATCCTGCATTCCTCCTGCGGTGTGAATAGCATTGCTGTGTTGGGGGCAGAATGAAGCAGGGGGATTTCTCCCACTTCATAACTTTGGCTTTTTGCTTTTTGCTTTTGTTCCAGTGGAAGCAGAATGCCCCCACCCTTGCTCGATGGGCCATAGGTCAGACTCTGACGATTAACCAGCTTATAGATATGGAGTGGAAATTTGGAGGTAACTAGTTAAAACCAGTCTTACGCCCTTTGGGTGATAGGGGGTTGGGTTGTAGAGGCTTGTGGGCAGCTTCAGTAGAGAAGAGGTGTCCTCGGTCCTCAAAGCCTGTTGGGGCCAACAGCTGCCTCTCTCTATTGCTGTCCACCGGACAGCAGTTTCTGTCCTTGTCTCTTAATATGTTGACTTCCTGAAAAGCACATTTTGCTTTTCCTCATACTCACCCCCATGTGGCTTCTGCTATAACGACCTGCAAGATTGGGGTCTTCCGAGTGAGTCGCCAACCAGCCACTTACTAGTTTTCTCTTCTGTGTCACAGTGACTTCTGGGAGCAGCGAGCTAGAAAAAGTAGGAAGTATTTTTTTGCAAGTAAGTCTTCTCCTCATTGTTGAAAATGTGTAGATTTTTGACTGTCCCTATATAACTCTGAAGTTAGAACTGGATGCTTTGCCCTGGCCAGGTAGCTCAGTTGTTAGAGCACTGTCCTGATATGCCAAGGTCGTAGGTTCAGTCCCTGGTCAGGGCACATATAAGAAGCAACCAATGGATGTTTAAATAAGTGAAACAACAAATTGATGTTCTTTTCCTTTCTCTCTCCCCGCCTCCCACCCTCTCTTCCCCTCTCTCTAGAATCAATAAATTTGAAAAAAAAATGTAAATTAAAAAAACTGGAGGACAGTGACCAGAGGAGAGAGGGGAGGGAATTTTAGGGGGAAAAGGGGAAGGATTTACAGGAACTAGTATAAAGGACACATGAACAACTACTAAGGGGGGTGGAAATGGGAGTGAGGTGGGGGGCACTGAGGGGGTGGGCTGGAATGGGAGTAAAAGACAGAAAACTGTACTTGAACAACAATTAAATTTAAGTCCTGGCTGGTGTAGCTCAGTGGATTGAGGGCGGGCCTGCAAACCAGACAGTCGTGGTTTGATTCCCAGTCAGGGCACATGCCTGGGTTGCAGGCCGGTTCCCTGCAGGCCAGTTCCCAGCAGGGGACGCACAAAAGGCAACCATACACTGATGTTTCTCCTCCTCTCTCCTTCCCTTCCCCTCTAAAGATAAATAAATAAAAATCTTTAAAAAAACCAATTAAATTTTAAAAACTGGATGCTTTGATGTTTAAGTGAAAGTTTAGGTTTTAAGAATTTCTTTATTCAGCTGTCATTTTAATTTAAATTTTTTATTTCTTCTTTTTAACCAGCTAAAGTTGGTGGTTAAGAAAGGAAATCAAACTGAAAATTTGTATATAGGTGAGTCTAAATTCCCATTTGAACCTTTTCACTTTCTCTTATGTTCTCTTCACTCAGTGGGCTTATGTAGCCCACCACAAATCATTTCTTCCAGAAAAGCAAAGCCATTGCCAAGCTGTATTAGAACTACTGCCTTTCCTCTCCTAAAAGATGGTACAAAGATTGTTAATAAGCCATTGGCAGTTGGAGACCCCAGAACTGAAGAGCCGTTTGGGAAAAGGGGAGAAAGGAATGGCAATGGTCAAAGAGCAAGACGCTCTCACTGTCGAAGTCACACTGAAACACCCATGTAATGCTTTTTTGTCTCCGTGCTCTAGCATCGGGCCATTTTAAACCCCCCTCCTTTTTTACGGGAGTGAGAACTTCTCTATGTTCAAGGCTCTTGGTTTTTTATTATGATTATTTACCCATCAAGAGCTAGTTGGTGGTACTAAGACAGATATGAAAAAAAATGTCTGGGTGGAAATTAATTTTTGTGGATGATTCTGTGGCGTGGGGAACGTTTACCTGAAGCCGAATTTTTCTTCCCCCAGAATTAACCTTGCCTCAGTTCTACAGCTTCCTGCACGAGATGGAGCGGGTCAGAACCAGCATGGAGTGTTTCAGCTGACTTCCGTCCCCCCACATCTCCACCTTGCCCCATCCCCCGCCACCTCCTCTCCCGTGGGTGACGGCTCTGAGAAGCACCTCACTCACAGGCCGCACTGTGGGACCCTGATTTGGCCCTGCTTGCCTGTTGGGTGCCCAGGTGCAATGTTTTCTGAAAAACAGGATTAAGTACTTAAGGAGCACTACACAATTACCCTGTGAATTCTTTGTTTAGGGAACCTCCACCACCTATCTCCCAGGACACCTGTTAGATATTCAGCGAGGCCATTGCATCTCAGACTCGGGGAGGAAATAAGTGAGTCACCACCCCATCAAAATTCCAGGGTGAACAGATGGTGCTGTCACTAAAGATATGCGCGTACCTCCCTCCTCCCCGCAAAGCTGGGGCTTGTTTATGGCTGAGGAGGAGGCCGCTGACTCTGTGAGTAACAGACACGTGGGGGAGCCCCCAGCAAGATTTCTACACTTTATGACTGTGGTGGTGGTGCTCTGCTCATCAGTTCTTAGTGAGGCATCTGTATGTAAAAACGTGTTCGGTCTACAGTGAAAAGAACTGAGGCTGAACTGCCTTCATTCCTGGTTTTGCCCTGTTGTGTTGTAATGAGGCCGGTCTTTGGGGGGCTGTTTTAGCTTGTTTTGGGTCAAGCTGACCACCTTTGTTGGTTAGATGATTGATAAAAATGGCTCCAGAGAAAAATTCTGCATCCAGCTGTTTTTCTGTGTGGATGAAAGAGTCCTCTGCCTTGCAGAGAGCTAATGCTCTGCTCTTCAGAAATCACATCCTTGGTTTGGGTGGCGGCCCTGGGTCTTCAGTGAAATTAGCTTTTTTGGTCCGACGTAGGATTTTGAGCAGTTCTGGGGAACCTCAGGTTAAAAACATGAAAAGCAGAGCATATCTCTGCTTTGTGTTCAGATGACCTTAGCCCCCACCCTAGCGCTTAACTTCCTCCTACTTCTCCTCTCAGAAATTAAAAGAATTTGGGAATAGGTAGTATGTACCCATGATGCAAAAGGTGCAGTTAAAGTAATTCCTTGTCACACCTTCGTTTTCCGGTTGCCTGGTTCCCCTCCCCAGAGTCAAGCACTGTTGCTGGTTTATTCTGTGTTCTTCTGCAGATATTCTATGCATTTGCAAATACATACGCACAGAGTTTGACGTTTCCCCGCCCCACGCACACGGGGCAGCACACTGCGCACATGCAGTCCTGCACCTTGCTTCTTCCCACTTAACTTGGAAATCACGTCATAACAGAAAGCAACCTCACTGGAAACACATGTGCTGTGTTCCTTCAAATGGACGGTTTACTTAACCAGTTCCCTACTGATGGGTGTTTAAGTTGTCTCTATTCTTTTTCTCTTGTAAGAAGCACTGCAGCTGAATGTTTTTGTATGTGTGTCCTTTTGCATGCATGGAAGTACATTTATAAGGTAAATATATGGGTGGGGAATGGCTGGGTCAAAGAATACGTTTATCAAAGAGCATTAAAAGGAATAAAGCGAGAAGGTCCCTCTGCCGTGTTTCCCGTTTGCTCGGCCCCCTGCTGCCCTCTGCCAGCAGGTGACCCCGCTGCCGGTTCCTTAGGCGCCTTCCACAGGGTTTCCCCTGATGTCAGCAGTAGGAATTTAAATGTTTACTCCTCTTTTTTGTTGTTGTTTACACAAATGATTGTGCACTATACACACTACTTTCAGTACACCTTGGTGATCCTTCAGTACACAGAGTCCGCATCCTTTTTGATGGCTGCAGCATATTCTCATACGTGAATGGGTCATAACCAATATTTGCTAAATAGTGCCAGTATTAGGATTAGGGTTCTCCAGAGAACAGAACCAACCAATGGTGTGTGTGTGTGTAGAGATTGATTTTTTTTGAAGGTTTTATTTATTTTTAGAGAGAGGGGGAAGAAGGAAGAGGGAGAGGGAGAGAAACATCAGTGTGTGGTTGCCTCTCAGGCGCCCCCTACTGGGGACATGGCCTGTAACCCAGGCATGTGCCTTAACTGGGAATTGAACCGGTGACCCTTTGCTTCACGGGCCTGTGCTCAATCCACTAAGCCACACCAGCCAGGGCTGATTCATTTATAAAGCATTGGTTCACATGATTGTGGAGGCTCTGTAAGTCCAAAATCTGCAGGGGAGGGCAGTCAGCTGAAGACCCAGGGAGGAGTTACAGATCCATTCCAAAGACAGTCTGCTGGCAGAATTTCTTGCTGGGGAAGGCTGAGGAGTTAGTCTTGGTTTGAAGACCTTCAACTGCTTCGAGGGGGGCCCACCCACATTATAGAGGGGAATCTACTCTGATTCCCACAAGTTAAATGTTAATCTCACCCAAAAAACACTTTCACAGAAACATAGAGAATAATATTCGACCTGATATCTCGGTATAGTGGCGCACTCAAGTTAATACACAAAATTAATCATCCCTGATGTCTATAGAGCTTGTCCAGTTTATGTGAGATTACTGTCCATAGTACCAAAGAAGAGCAAACCGGTCCCTTTGGACAGAGTGTCCAGGAGTGTCCCTGAGGCTTCTGAGGGCATCATGTGCCTGAGATCATTATAATCTAACGTAAAAAGAATTTACGGAATGTTGGGACAGGGTCCTAACTGGAGTGGCTCAGCTGGTTGGGCGCCAACCCTCTAAGCGAAAGGTCACCGGTTTGATTCCCAGTCAGGGCACGTGCCTGGTTTGTGGGGCCCGTCCCCAGTTGGAGTGCATGCGAGAGGCAACCGATGGATGTATCTCTCACACATCGATGTTTTTCTCCCTCTCTCCCTCCCGTCCCCTATGTCTAAAAATAAAAAATAAATAAAGTCTTAAAAAAATAGAACAGGAAGGCTTCTAAAATACAATCTAGTTAAATTCACTGGTTTTATAGGTGGGGCAGTGGAGACCTGGGGGCTGAAACTGGATCAGCGCCACCGGTGAGCCACAGGGCCCTGCTTGGTTCAGAAATGGGATTTGGCGTGACCTGAAGTGGACTCAGCCTATCAAACCGTCCAGGGCTCCAGTCAGGGTTCTCTGTAAGAGTTGCACCCAGCTGGCCACTGGAGAGCTTATGAACAAGGAGCTCCTTGCGCTGCCCGAGTCAGGCCCCCCTGCCCACCTGGGTCACAACAGTGGCTCCCTGGTGCCCCCAACCCCTGCCCCAGCCTTCAGCCGCACACCTTCTGCGGTCTGGCCTGTTTCTGGCATGAGCATCCTTCTGGGCCAGTCTCATGGCAGCGGACAGATCACTCGTGTCTCTTCACGATGTCCAGGGTGAAACCCAAACTCGGCACACGAGGTCCCACAGTGTGGCCCTGCCTCCGTCTTCCACCCCGCCCCCATTTCTTGTGCCTCCCAGGTGTCCCGTACCACAGAACCTAGTCTCCCAGATGCCAACAGCCCCCACACCATGAGGCCATTTACTGTGTCTCCCCCTGGGCCTGCAGTGCTTCCCCACACTTCAAGCCGTACTGTCCAGGGCACTTCGGAGGGCCCGCCGGACAGCTCTGTGCCATAAAAACACCCCTTGGGCCTCCCCTGGACCTCTGCTGCGGGGGCCAGGAGTGGAGGCTCCATAGTCAGGCTGCTTGCGTTCGAACTCTGGCCCCTGTTACCCACTGCGTGACCTCAGGCCGACTCCTAACCCCTCTGAACCTTAGTTTCCCCGTCCGCAGGCCAGGTGTAGCTCTTGCCTCATAGGGCTATTAGTTGGGTCATTTGGCACAAAGCTCATTCAACCAAAGGTGAGCTCTTCCTTATCACATTCTGATGCTAATTACTGATTTTCAAGATTCTTTTCCCCACTGGCTGGAGGGCTTCTTGATAAGAGATTTGCTTTTCAGCTCAGGAGCTCCAACCCTGGGCATCAGCCAACTCCACTCCTCCCACCCCACCTGGTAATACACCCTGTCCTGCTGTTAGTTAAAATGAAATGAGGCTGCGTGTGGACCTTCCTGGGCAGGACTGCTAACCAACCTGCCTGGCTTCAGAGGAGCAAATCTGTGAAAGTGGGTTTGACTGTTGCTGTGTCTCAACATAGATCACAGATGAGTCTTTAGTGGAAGGCACAGGTGGCAAACACAAGGCCCACCGGCCGAATCAGGCCCTCCGCCTTGTTTTATCTGGCCCCGCACCTTGTTTTCTACCTGGCAGCAGCGCCGAGCTCCTTGCCCCTAGCTAAGGAGTGGTTACATTTACACAGTCCTAAAATTACATTTGGCCCTTGGAAGGCAGAAGTGAGGCTGGTGTGGCCCCCGGTGAAGATGAGTTTGACACCCTGGTGTAAGGCGAGCCGGCAGGACACCTGTCTCCCAAGAGCAGTGGGGCACTTGGCTCCTGGTTCGCAGCCTTTCCTGGGAGCTGGGTGACACCCCGAGTGCACACACAACCGACAGTCTGTCTTCCCAGGGTCCCGTTTCTGTCGGGAGGAGATTATAGCCTCACTCCCATTTGCCACGATCCAGATCCCGCCATGAACTCTAGGGACTCTTCCAGCCCCTTTTTCGTATTACAATGTTGTCACAAAAATAATCCGTCGTATGAGGAGCGTGGGTCCCCACAGACTGTCAGACGGAGGCTTGGTCTCGGTGCTGGGGAGCTGGGGCAGGTGCTCTCTTACTGTCAGCCCTTCGTCTTTGCCCCAGTTCACTCTTGCTCCTCTTCTCTTAGAAATCTGCTGTCAGTCTGGTCTGTGGCTGGAGGTGACCTCATATTCCATTTGCTTTTGGCGCATAGTGTTCCTTAAGATGGCGATTGTCAGGCCAGGAGATCAACCAGAAATGCCTGCGTTCTTTCCCTGGAGGAAACAGGGCTGTCTGGTCGGGGGTGGAGGAAATGGTTACCGTTCAGTTCGGACACTGTTGTTTTTTCACTCTGCTCGTATTTTTTAAAAAGGAAAAGAAAAGCAGGTGGTGACAAGGAAACTCTCCACATAGTCCACGCGGTCAGCTGCTCCCCAGCGGGGCCGGCTGCCTTACACACAAGCATTTGCCGGAGAGTAGAAGTGGGCTTTTCCAAAGACACATGGCCGACGACCAACATTTTCCTAAGCATATTTGGTCTTTTCCAGGTTGGATTTTTTTTTTTTTACAAATGCCATATTTCACAGGCATTTCAGAATTTCTGTGGAAAGTGGCATCTGTAATGCCTGATGGATAATATCTTGTATTTGGCAGCTTCATGCTTTAGTCAGGGAAGTCAAGTTATGAAGGCGTACTTGACACACAGGAAAATCCCCCCTTTCGAAGTGTACAGTTCAGTGAGTTTTGATAAGTGTGTAGTCATGTAACCACTACCACAATCAAGATAAAAAATATCCATCATCCCCCAGAAAGATCCCTGATGAGACTTAGAGTCAGTCCGTTCCCTTCGCCCCCCACGGCTGGCAGCCACTGGGCTGATTCCCGTCTCCACAGTTTGCCTTTTCCAGGATGTTGTATAAGTGGAATAATTTGTTATGTAGTCTTTTGTGCTTAGGTTCTTCCAGTCAGCATGTTTTTCAGATCTACCTATGTTATTGGTGGTTGGTGGTTTTGTTTTTTTTCCTCCCTTTTTAAACCTGGCTTGTATTCTCTGATAGGGACACATTCCAGTTTTCTTTTTTTTGTCTATTTTTAAAAAACTGGTTATTTATTCATTTTAGAGAGACGGGAAGGGAGGGAGAGAAACATTGATGTGTGAGAGATGCATTGATCAGCTGCCTCTCGTATGTCTGTAAGTGGGGACCTGGCCCTGCGACCCGGGTGTGTGCCCTGGCTGGGAATCAAACCGGTGACGTTTTGCTTTGCAGGATGACACTCAACCAGCTGAGTCACACTGGTTAGAGCAAGATGAACCTACTCTTGTAAAAAAGATTTACATTGAAAAAAACAAGCAGATATAAAGGAAAATGTTATTATACCAAAACCATGGGCCATGGAATTGCAATTTCTAAATTTTTTTCTTTTGGTTATTTGTAGTTTCCAACTTTTCAACATAAGCATAAATTATCCTGCTCTATTTATAGAGACAATACCTAAAATGTACACAATAAAACATTCCAACAGAACTGAAAAAAGATAAAAAGTTCAAACAACTTCCTTCACTGCCCCGCAGATTCCTAAGAACATCTATTACTTCTGTAAAAAAAAAATTTTTCCCAACCAAAACAATGGAACTTCCTCCACGCCAACCACCTGAATCTTTTCTAGATGCCTTGTTCCTCACGCCGTGATGATTCCCTGGGCTGACCCGGGCCCCCACCCGAGAGTCTTCAGTGTCTCCAGTAGGTGGTCCCACTTCTCTCTCAAGGACCCTCTGGAACAGCTCCTTACCATTTCTCTGCGTTGCCTGCCCCATCTTGACAGTCAACACTAGATTCAGAACAGCTTTAGTTGTATCACTACTTTCATAAAATCCAAAAGTAAGAAAGACATAGGAGAAGGAAAGAAAGGAAGGCAGAGAGGGAGGAAGAAGCTTTAATTCTTTCCTTCCCAGAGCTTGCATTACCTCTTTTATTTAAAAAAGACTTCTGGGCAAGATGGAGG